TGCACCGCCGTGGCTGGATGTGGCCACCAGCTCAACGTTTCCTCCCAGCTCCTGAGAAAGCGGGGTCAATCCATGCTGTAAGCACCCGGAGGACTGAGCACGCTGCTGGCACCCCTGCGCCCGAGCACCCCTCCATCTCCCAGATAGCCCCTTCTCTCATCCCTCAGCCATCGCCAGTTTGCCCAGCACTCACAGTTCAAGGTTAAGGGGTGCTGCTCTCACCCCACTTTGCTTTTGCAACTGGCTCCTGCTGTCTGCCCTGCGCATGGTGGCACAGAGCCTGCTCCCCACCCTCATGTTCCCCTTCGCCGCAGCCATCCTACCCATCCATGGGTGACCACGAGGTCCCACCAAGAGCAGAGTGCTCTCTCCCGAGCGGGAGGTCACCTTGCTACAGTTCAACCCTCTGTTGGCATCAGATGGCCAACCCTTGCTTGACTTCTAGCCTCTCCTCAAACTCTGCCAGGCTTTCCGAGGAATTACACTGCACCGTCTCCAACACAACAACAGGGAGTTACGGTGTGTTCCAAGGCTTCAGCCTCCCAGCAACTTAACACTCAGTCTTATGGCAAAAGGGGAAAAGGAGATGCTCGAGTCTACTGAGCCTCCTGCTTTCCGTGGCTGTAGGGAATGAGGTTTGCTACGGGTATACGGGAAAGTTACCTGCTCCGGTAATCGCTGGCATATTGAAAATCTCTGTCCCAGGCTGCCCAACATCTGGAGAAAAACAAAGGAAGCTCTTCAGTACATGCAGGCAGGTAGGGAGGGACCCGTCGTGCCAGCCACGACAAGATCCCCGCGTCCCTGTCACGTCACGCAGCCCACCTCCCCCGGGCACCAGGGTGGGTCTGCGGGTGCTGCCTGGGACCGGGAATAAGTGCCTTTGGGAGATCCGCAGAGGGCACACCTCGCCAGCTGGGAAAGGGCAGAGCCTGGAGAGCCAGGGTGATGTGTTTGTGCTCTGTGCTGACCTCCCTCTCTCCAGCCCTTCCCATGACAAGCTCCATGAAGCCAAACCCTCGCTCCTGCCTACGGGATTTCCAAAGGCTCAAATCCCCACATCTAGGGAGCAGGTCTGGGCAGTGGGGAGGGGGAAGAGGAGGAGGAGAAACGTTAAATCAATATTTTCCCTCTTAGCTGAGCTGTTTGACTTGGATATCGCTTTCCTTAGAATAACAGAAATTCTCATAAATAAGAGGCGTTTCCTATTTCTATATATTTTCCCTCGATAAGGGAAAGTGTGGGAGGTCACGGGGTTCAGCCACGTGTCCCCAGAGGGGCATAACAATACTGTTGGCTGATGGTAACATCATCCAGGAGACGAGACAGCTCGGTCCCTCTTATCCGATGCAGCTGTTGTAAGATGGATTCAAATTGAATTAGTATTGACTGGAGACTGCTGGGCTAAATTAAATTATGATCCTATCTACTCTATTAGCGGTTAATGAATGACCGGGCTGAATTTCGAATATAAGCCAGCCTGGTTAGTTTTACAGAGCTATACCAATATTGATGCAGGGCTTAAAGTAACGTCGGGGGGAGACGCATCTCGAGGAGGAAGGATTCAGCTTGGCTGGCCATTCATTAAAATATCAATTGCTTTTAAGTCTCCTCCATGCTCAGTTCATTATTTCCTTCCTATTGAGGTTACGTGGCGCGGGTGGGATTGACAGCCCCAGAGCACGGAGACGCGGGGCTGGGAAACCTCCCATTGCCGCCCCACATGCACACAGCCACTGCTGGCACCCGCACGGCTCATCCCAGGAAGCACTGGACCTCGCACTTCCCAACAAACCATGGCATGATGCAGATAGAGCTGGCTGGAACCTTCCAGCTCTAACACAGCAGCACCCATACCCAAATCTCCTTTGCTTCACGTGTTCTCAAGGCTTTTTTTTCCCCCCTCAAGGCGTTTGCCTCCCCACAGGTCCTTACTGTACTCCGTCTCATTTTTGTTGGTCGTGCTGAGCTTCTTGATGATCTCCTGTTTCTTGGACTTCACCATGGCAGAGTTGCTCTCAGTCAGCTTGCTGAAGAAAGCTGGAGGCTGAGTGTTGTTTCCTGGGGACTTGGACCCCATCCTGCAAAACAAAATACCATTGGAAACCTCTGCAACGTCCAGTTCACAAAGTCCTACCTAGAGAGACTCTTTTCCCTTAGCACAACTGCTCAGAACCAGCCCAGGGGCTCCTGAGATATTTGGTATCTCAAACCTTTCTCCCCATCCCTACCATAAATGTACCACAAGGTGTTGAAAAGCCCCTACAAAGGGGCAGCAACTTGGGATGCGACATTGCCTTTGGCTGCAAGACAAGCAGCCTGGGCCAGGGCAGGTGTCAGGGTCGGGGGAACACCTCCACCATCCTCTCCCTCAGCGTTACCTCTGGTCCATCTGCTCGCCCTCGCGGTACAGGATCGGGTACGTGGCGCTCTTGGCGTGCTCCGATTCTCCCACGCCGTCTGGTGGAGAGACCGGCTCGATACAGTTGTCCGACCCGCTCCCGGCCGAAGCTTTGCTTTGCTCCGGAGACCTGCGGAGAGCGATGGGGAGATGCACCGGTTTATTGCAACATCCTCTGTCCCTGCCCAGCAGCCTGGGATCGAGGCGGGAGAAGGACTAAAACAGCTTTCCTACAGCAGGGAAAAAGCCAAACCTCCCACACCCTGCGGACTTACGGCACTTTTTAACGCAAGCCGGAGGAAGAGCATGGCTTGGGCGTTTTTCCGCACCGCAGGCGCACGGAGCAGGACTGAGCTGAGACGTGGCCCAGATTCGGCGGCAGTGGGCCAGCGGCGGCCACCCCAAACACAGCTGCCCAGGAGGGACGGTGGGACCAGTCCTGGGACTTGCTGGCTCAGCCCAAGTGTCCCTGCCAGCCAGGGACACAAGCCCTGCGGAGGGCTGGGACGTTAACCCTTTAGGGACACGGCTTTTGATTCTCCATCATATTGGTGAGCACAGGGGAGGGCAGCACCCGCCACCCCCACCCACCTTGTCCGGGGCCGTGCAGGGGCTCCCCGGCAGCGGG